CATCACCCCCAAAAGGAAGCCCCGTCCCCCATCAGCAGTCACTGCCACCCCCTCCCCAGCCGGGTCCCCCACGCGTCTGCCTCCCACCTCTGCGGATAGGCCTGTCCTGGACATTGCCAATCAATGCGGTCGGCTGTCTGTGGCCTCCGGGGACTGGCATCTCTCCCTGAGCGCCATGTCGGGGGGGACACACGGGCGAGAATCACGCAGCCCAGCGAATGGGCAGATCGTCTGCAAACAGCGCTGGGGTGGGGGGGGGCGAGCAGGGAGCTGTGGGCCTCTGCTGTGGGCTGCGGCTGTGTTTGACCGGCCCAGGAAGACCCTGTCTGAGCTGAGACGGGGATGGGGAGCCGGGGTCAGCAGGGTACAGCAAGGCGAGGGGGGATGATGGCGGCGCGGGGGGGCGTGTCTGAGCTTGGTGGGGCAGGAGCAACGGCCAAACCACACGGGGCACTGAACCGCGAGGGAGGTGTCCCGACATGCGTCCACGGGCAATAGGGAGCCACGGGAGGATACTGAGCGGGAGCATGGCAAGCTCTGGGTTGCAGTTGGAAGGCGCGTCCAGCTCTACGTGGTCTGACCCTGTGGCGCCCTCCCTCTCCCAAGCCTTGGAAAGTCTTGACTCTGGGCTGCACCTCCATCTCCAGGAGAGCGGGATGGTATTATCTCCCTCTCCGCCCCGTCACCGACACGCAGAGCTGGAGAGGCTGAACTGAACACCAGGCACCGAGCCAATGTCCACTCCGGAGCCAGGACAAGAACATGTGGGTCCCCACCTGAATCGGCCGCTGACCGCCTTGGGCAGAGACACTGAAGTCTCTGAGCCTCAGTTTCCTCTTCCGCAAAAGGGAACTGCAGGGTCCCAGTCACCTCCTGGGCTGAGCCAGTGAGAAGTCTCCACTGGGTGCCGGCGGGAGTCAGGAGCCCCGAGTCCCAGGCCCTGGTCTGCTCCTGGCTATGTCTTTACCTCATTCATTCATCCAACAAGCATCCATCCATTCATTCATCAACAAGCATTCATTCATTCATTCATTCATTCATTCAATAAGCACTTAAAAGCAATGTCTGTGTGCCAGGCACTGGTTTTAAGAGAAACAGCACTGAGCAAAACAGACAAATCCCTGCATTCTGTCTACGGGTGAGAGACAGAACGAACAAGGAAAGCCGACTGTCACAGGGCGGGCCACGGTACGGGGAGAAATAAACAGGGAAGGGGGGCCGGGGGCTGGCAGAATAGAGGCCTCCCCACAGCCAGCCCGTTCTAATCCCCGGAACTGCAGATAAAGCCACCTTACATGGAAAAACGGCCTCTGCAGATGGGATTAAGTAGGAATTGTGAGATCCGGAGATCATCCCGGATCATCGGGAGGCGGACATCCTCACGGGGTCCTCTGGAGGGGAGGCGGGAGGGTGAAAGTCGGAGAGAGACTGGAAGAGGCCGCGCTCAGGCTGTGAAGGGGGAGGAAGGGGCCCCGAGCCAAGGGACGCGGGGAAAGATGGGAACCAGACTCTCACCTGGAGCCCCCAGGAGGGCCCAGCCCTGCCCATGTCCTGTTTTTATTTTTATTTTATTTTATTTTCTGAGACAGAGTCTGGCTCTGTCACCCAGGCCGGAGTGCAGTGGCGCGATCTTGGCTCACTGCAACTTCTGCCTCCTGGTTTCAGGCAATTCTCCTGCCCCAGCCTCCTGAGTAGCTGGAATTACAGGCATGAGCCACCACGTCTGGCTAAGTTTTTGTATTTTTAGTATATACGGGGTTTTGCCAGTTTGGCCAGACTGGTCTCGAACTCCTGACCTCAGGTGATCCTCCGCCTTGGCTGCCCAAAGTGCTCGAATTACAGGCGAGAGCTGCCATGCCCAGCTAATTTTTGTATTTTTGTATTTTTTTTTTTTTTTTTTTTTAGTAGAGATGGGGTTTCATCATGTTGGTCAGGCTGGTCTCGAACTCCTGACCTCGTGATCCGCCCGCCTCGACCTCCCAAAGAGCTGGGATTACAGGTGTGAGCCACCGCACCCGGCCTCATGCTCTGGTTTTATGCCAGTGAGGCCCATTTTGGACTCCGGCCTTCAGGGAGTCTGTTAATAAATGTGTGGTTCTCAGCCAGGACTCATACCGGGTCACTGCAGTCTTGAAGAGGGAGGTCTCCCGAGGCCTCGCACCTGGCTTCTGGGGTGCAGAAGGCGAGGGCCACTGGCCTCTCCGTGGGGTCTGCCACCTCCATCAGCCTCAGTGCAGGCACTGGCCTTGGGCACCCCCGAAAACTGTCCCCCATGGCAGGACCTGGGAAAGGGCGGCCCCTCTTTCCTGTGTCCCCAGCTGACCTTAGAGCCTGGACTCACTGTCCAGGAAGCTCTTCGCCCAAGGAAGAGGCAGAGTGTGGCTGGGAGTGGTGGGGTCCCTCCCTGGAACAGGGGCGGCCCTGCCCGCTAGGTGCCTGGTGGGCAGCTCCCCGCCTCGGCTCCCAGCCAAGCCATCGCCTCTTTTCTTTGCTGTTCCCCTCCGCCCTCTTGCAAGGTTACCTCCAACCCATCTTCCCTCCAGTCCGTGCCCAGGGCAGGGATGCGGACGTCTCCCTTGGGAAAGGCCCTCCCGGAGGCTGGCCGAACCCAGAGCGGGCCGGGGTGAGAGGCGTGATAGCGGCCCCCTCCGTACCCCGGCCCACAGCGACCTCCATCCCCGCTCCCTCTGCCCCCCACCACAACTGGGGCGCTGGGAGTAAGGGGAGTGTGGTCTGGAACCGACCCCCATTTGAGCTTCTAAGACAGATATGGGAAGAGGGGTCCAGCCCCTCACAGCACGCTGCCCTGCAAGGTCTGCTTTTGGGGACAGGCCGCTGGCCCCCCAGGACCCTGCATCCTCTGTCCTAGATCCAGGCCCTCCCGGGGCTTCATCCATGACAACTCATTAAGCCTTAATTAGCTTCCATCTGCTGTTAGTCCCTGTCATCCCTTCGAGGGGCTGGGGGCCTCCCGACCCACTTTCCTTCCCAGCCAGAACACCGGCCATGGACTGCCCTCTGCAGGAGGGACCCCTAGATTTGGAACCAGTTTTGGAGCATCCACTGTCTACACCGGCCACTTTACCCACTAGCCCAGCCCTGAGAGGGAAAATAATAAAGTTCATTTTGAAGACAAGGAGACTGAGGGTCAGAGTGGGCCCCAGATCACCGCATCACTTAGCTAGAACCTGAATCTGACACCAGCTTCTACCCACAAAATCCCAGCTCCCTCCTGGAGGGTGGAGGGCACTCTTTGGAGGCCCGGGATTGACATGAGGTGGTGGGCGGCTCCAGGGAGGCCCACCGGGGGCAAATGTTGCTCTCGGAGTTCTTCAAGAGGCTCTCTACCTGGTGACTAGGTGGTGACTCAGGGGCGCCCGGGAATGACAGCACTGTGGGAAGAGACATCAAACCGCCTCTGTTCCCACTCAGCATGGGACCTGCAGGTCCCTCGTACCCTGGGGGTGGACGGCAGTGGCCTCCTGCACCGGACGGAGGGGAGCACAGAGGCTGAGGGGGGGCTGGGCAGGGCTGCTGCTGTGACCGTCGTGACTTAAGCATCTGTTTAATGGCGGCACCCCGAGCCGGAGTGGAGGTGGGCAGCATCTCATTTAATTCCGCGTGGGGTGAATCGGAGGGAGAGGATCATTTGCTGGAAGTCACCAGTGGAGACCAGTCAGGGCGGGGAAGGCCGAGTTGAAGCCCGGTAAGCCCCCGTCCCACTGCCCAGCGGACCCCTTCCTGCCACCGCACATGATCCAGGTGGACGTAGGAGCTGGGCCGACAGGGGAAGCCGGTGGGCCCTTCCCACCCAGACCCTGTTTCCGATGATGGCTGCTGCTTTGGCTCAGAGAAGAGCCAGAGTAAGATGCCCTGGCAGCCCCCCGGGCGCCAGCCTCCTCATAACGCCAGTGCCACCCTCTCTGAACCTGTTTCAGCCTGCATCCTCCACCTGGCCACTCACACATCACACCTTTTCCATCCTCTCCACACCACTTCCAGGGAGCCCTCCTGGGTTGCTCTGGTACTCACAGCTCTGTCCTCCCCGAGGTTCCCCCGAGCCAAGCCCCAGATCGTCCCTCTGCGAATACCACCGAATACCACCGCGCACCAGACGGTCGCTCCCCACCCCCGCCGGAGGGAGAGGTGCTGCAGCCTCACTGTGCGTCCATGCGCTCGCCAGGGACCGCCTGCTACCGCGCAGGTTCTGGGGCCCATCGCCTCGGAAGTTCCGACTCCTCGGATCTGGGGCGGGGGTGTGGGATACCAGCCCCGTTAGTGCCCGAGGCACATGCTGAGAAACCTGACTAGAAGGGGGTCTCCAGCGCAGGGACCCGGGCTTTTCTTGAGCCTCGACCAAGACGCAGGGTGCTGCTCCCCCAAACTTGTTGAATGGGGCTCAGGGCCTCCCCTGGCCAGGCCCCAGAGGCCCGGGAGGTCAGAGAGAAGCCCCTCCCATCCCTGGTGCTGTTGAGACGCAGGCCCCCAGAGCAGGGGACTCAGCCCTGTACCCCCAGATCCCTCCCCGCCAGGCCGGGCCGCCAGCTCCAGGGATGGAGCAGGCTCCGGTGTGGACCCCAGACACCCTGTGCGTCTTCCTGCTTCGCACCCCCAGGCTGGACCAGACCCGGCTGCGGGCTCTATCCGGCCCGTTCCCCACACCCCAGACCCAGCCGGTCCCCCCCTTCATCTCCTCCTGGAGAGGAGCGCATCCTCCTCCCAGGCGTCCCCACTGCCGGGGAAGATGCCCACCCGGTTCGCCGCTCCTCGGAGCCCCAGGGAAGGGGCGGGGGGACCCCAGGGTGGGGAGTTTGCCCCCAAAGTTTCCAGCGGGAGCGTGGGGGGCCTGGCAAGGAGCGATCGCCCGGGAGGGGTGCGCAGGGCAATTTCCCCCGACTGAAGACGGGGTCGCGGGCTGGGGGCTCTGGGCGCGGGGTGCGGGGTGCGGGGTCCCCAGGCCTGTGGGCGCTCCCCACGCCGGGCCCGGCGCAGCCACTCACCTGGGCGGCTCCGCCGCGGACACGGCGCGGGCTGCGGCGCGGGGGCCGCCCGGAGCCGACACGAGCAGCCGCCGCCGCCGCCGCCGCCGCCGCCGCCGCCTCCCGGGCTCCGCCGTGCGCGCCGCCGCCGCGCGCACCCGCCCGCCCGTCTCCTCGGCGCGCCTGGCGGGAGCGCGCGGGGGCTGCACGGGACCGCGTGCGCGGCGGCTGGGGCCGCAGGTGTGCGAGTCCACGTGGGCGCAGGTGCGGGGGGCGTCGGGAGGGCGGGTGCGTGGCGCCTCCGTGCGCACCCCGCGTGGCTTGAGTCCGAGGACCCCCCTCCCCACGGCCTGGGTGCGAGAAAGGAAGGGGTGCCCCGAGTGCAGCAGGTTGCTCCGCGTAGAACCTTCTGGAAGCTGCCATCGCCGCCTCTGCCCCAGCCCTCCGGGTCCGTTGCTTCTGTGGCCTCAGAGGAAGCTCAGCCGCTGGGCTCCAGAGCCTGCCATGGCTCCCTTTTGCCGCGAGGGTCCCGTCTGCTCTCCACCTATGCTGGCTTTTTAAAAAATTATTATTTTTGAGATGGAATCTTGCTCTTTTTTTTTTTTTTTTTTTTTTTTTGAGAGGGAGTTTCGCTCTTGTTACCCAGGCTGGAGTGCAATGGCGCGATCTCGGCTCACAGCAACCTCCGCCTCCTGGGTTCAGGCAATTCTCCTGCCTCAGCCTCCCGAGTAGCTGGGATTACAGGCACGCGCCACCATGCCCAGCTAATGTTTTGTATTTTCAGTAGAGACGGGATTTCACCATGTTGACCAGGATGGTCTCGATCTCTTGACTTTGTGATCCACCCGCCTCGGCCTCCCAAAGTGCTGGGATTACAGGCTTGAGCCACCACACCCGGCCTCTGTCTTTTTTTTGAGATGGAATCTTGCTCTGTCGCCCAGGCTTCATTGTGGGGGCACCATCTCGGCTCACTGCAACCTCTGCCTCTCGGGTTCAAGCGATTCTCCTGTCTCAGCCTCCTGAGTAGCTGGGATTACAGGTGCCCACAACCAGACCTGGCTAATTTTTTGTATTTTTAGTAGAGACAGGGTTTCACTATATTGGCCAACCTGGTCTTGAACTCCTGACCTTGTGATTCGCCCATCTTGGCCTCCCAAAGGGCTGTGATTACAGGTGTGACCCTCCGCGCCCGGCCGCCTGCACTCTGGCCGCCTCACTTACTCCTTCCCCGGCTCTGTCCCCTCCAGGCCCAGGCCCTGGACTTCCTGTGCTCAGCTTGGACGGCCTTTCCCTCCGTCCTTCCGTGGAGCAGTTTGGAGCCTCTCAGTGTGTGGATGGGGCTTGTTCCCCAGCGGGGCTTCCACCCGGCACATGGAACTGCGCACGCTAAGTGTGCCGTGAGTGCTTGTGGAAAGAAAGCTTTTAGCCGGGCGCGGTGGCTCACGCCTGTAATCCCAGCACTTTGGGAGGCTGAGGCGGGTGGATCACGAGGTCGAGAGATCGAGACCATCCTGGTCAACATGGTGAAACCCCGTCTCTACTAAAAACACACAAAAAAAGTAGCTGGGCATGGTGGCGCTTGCCTGTAATCCCAGCTACTCAGGAGGCTGAGGCAGGAGAATCGCCTGAACCCAGGAGGCAGAGGTTGCGGTGAGCTGAGATCGCGCCATTGCACTCCAGCCTGGGTAACAAGAGCAAAAAAACTCCGTCTCAAAAAAAAAAAAAAAAAAAAAAGAAAGCTTTTTACCTTGTTTTTGTTTTTTTTTGAGACGGAGTTTCACTCTTGTTCCCCAGGCTGGAGTGCAATGGCGCGATCTCCGCTCACTGCAACCTCCGCCTCCTGGGTTCAAGCGATTCTCCTGCCTCAGCCTCCCGAGGAGCTGGGATTACAGGCGCGCACCACCATGCCCGGCTAATTTTTGTATTTTTAGTAGAGACAGGGTTTCGCCAAGTTGGCCAGGCTGGTCTCAAGCTCCTGACCTCAGGTGATCCGGCTGCCTTGGCCTCCCAAAGTGCTGGGATCACAGGCGTGAGCCACCAGCCCGGCCGCTTACTGCGCCTTCTGAAGGCTAAATGTCACCTCCCCATCTCACAGATGAGCAAACCAAGGCTGGGAGATGCCATTTGTCCCTAGTGAGGGGCGGGAAGGAGGCCTCGGGAGCCCGTGTGTGTAACCTTGCTCGGTCCACCCCCTCCGCCCTCCCGCAGTCCTCCTGCCTGCTGTATACTCCCAGTGGCTTTGGTGGTGGCCTGGCATCCGCGCAGCCACCTGTGACTCAAGCAGGCGCTGTTCCCAGACTGTCGCGTTGGCTGGAGGCCCAGAAACCGAGTCCCCGGAGGCTGCAGGCCAGGCCCCCGACGGGATGCTGCAGGAGGGGGGGCGGGTACGGGTCACTTCCTGGCCCCGGAGCTATTTGGAAGGACTTTGTGACCCTCCGACCCTCTCCCCGCTAGCTGGCGGGCCCTGGGCTGCTGCCCTGCCTGACCCCGGTGGCGGCAGTAGGGGGGGTCTCTTTCTCTCTCTCTGATCGTGTTTCTCCCTCTGTAAAGTGAAGCTCCTGATAGCTGCCTCTCAGGATTCTTGGAGGAAGGTGTTCATTGAGCACCTGCTGTATACCAGGGCAAGAAGAGCTGGAGGAGGAGGCGCTTCCAGGCTCAAGGGGGATTTCCATGGATACAGGGAGCAGAGGCCTTAGATACGAAATGATCACAAAGCGTTGTGGAAGGGGCAGTAGCGACACTTGGCCCTGGACCTCAGCCAGAAGCCAGGGAGGCTTCCCAGAGGAGGGGGCACTTGTTGTGAGTCCTGGTGGGTCAGGGATGTGAGCTGGGTTCCAGTCTGGGGCTTGCCTGTGTGACTGTGGGGGAGGTCCCTCCAGCCTCAGTTTCCACCTCTGCAAAATGGGGGTGAGAACAGTTCCTGTCTTCCTCCAGGGCTGCAGAGACTCTGCAGTGGTTCTGCCCGGCTTGTGGCCACTGCTCCAGGGACCTTGCAGGCCGAGACTGGGCCAGGCTCCCACCTCAGGGCCTCCCCCCAGACCTCTGCCTTCCCGCCCCTCCCCTCCTCTTCACCAGGGCCTCCACCACCACCCTCCCCTCCTCCGTCTGTCCCTCTCTCCCGGCCTGGGTGGCACATGCCTGCTAAGATGTCCTATGCTGTTTTTGCTGATGTATCCCATGCTCCACACAGGCAAGCCCCGAGATCGCGCCATTGCACTCCAGCCCGGGTAACAAGAGTGAAACTCCGTCTCAAAAAAAAAAAAAAAAAAAAAAAGACGGAATTGATTCCTGCCACAGAAGAGCTCCTGCCATTTTCCCAGGCAGGAGAGCACGGGACAGGGACCCCTCAGCCCCACCGTGCCCCTCCCCAGAAGGATGCCCTCCTCGGGCTGCTGCCTCCCTATCCCCAGCCTCTCCCACGGCTTCCCCGTCTGCAGCCGCCCTCTCCGCCCAGGTGAGTCTCCATGGCAACGTCTCATCACAGGTGGTCGTAACCTTAGCAACCAGGTGCTTCCCGCCCCAAGGCCTGGGAGGCTCAAAGCCGTGCCTGTATCCCCTCCCACGCTCCCATGTCCCCCAGGGGCACCTCTCCAGGAGGAACTGAGGGAGATGCTCAGACTTGAGGGACACCCCAAGGTCACCCAGCGGCTGAGAGGCTGGGCGTGGGGCTCCAGGGGACATCAAACCCCCCTCCCTGATCCTGCAGAAGGCAAAACAGCCTGCCCTTCCTGGCATCTCTTGAACTGCTGCTATGTGCTGGGTCCATGCCAGGCTCAGGCATGGTCCCTGCCCTCAGGAGGCTCCCACTCAGGACAGGGGGTGGGGAGACACTGACCAAGGACAGAAAGGGGACAGTGGCCAGGCACGGTCCCAGCACTTTGGAAGGCAGAGGCAGGAGGATTGTTTGACCCCAGGAGTTTGAAACCAGCCTGGGCAACACATCGAGACCCTCTTTTCTAAAAAAAAAAAAAAAAAAAAAAAAAAAAGCCAGGTGTGGTGTGGTGGTGCATGCCTGTAGCCCTGACTATTTGGGAGGCTGAAGTGGGAGGATCACTTGAGACCAGGAGGTCGAGATTGCAGTGAGCCAGGATCTCACCACCAGAGTTCCACTCTGGATGACAGAGCAAGACCCTGTCTCTAAAAGTATATATGCACATGGACTGGGTGCTATGGCTCATACCTGTAATCCTAGCACTTTGGGAGGCTGAGGCGGGTGGATCGGTTGGCATCAGGAGTTTGAGACCAGCCTGGTCAGCATGATGAAAATACAAAAATTAGCCAGGCCTGTAGTCCCAGCTGCTCAGGAGGCTGAGGCAGGAGAATCACTTGAGGCTGGGAGGCGGAGGTTGCAGTGAGCTAAAATTGTGTCACTGCACTCCAGCCTTGGCAACAGAGCAAGACTCTGTCTCAAATATATATACTTGAGTGAGTTCTCACTGTTCATTTCCACCAGAACTGATTTTTTTTTTTTTTTTTTTTGAGACGGAGTTTTGCTCTTGTTGCCCAGCTGGAGGGCGGTAGTGCAATCTCGGCTCACTGCAACCTCGGCCTCCTGAGTTCCAGTGATCCTCCTGCCTCAGCCTCCTGAGTAGGTAGGACTACAGGTGCCCGCCACCACACCCAGGTAATTTTGTATTTTTAGTAGAGACGGGGTTTTGCCATGTTAGTCAGGCTAGTCTTGAACTCCTGACCTCAGGTGAGCCACCTGCCTTGGCCTCCCGAAGTGCTGAGATTACAGGTGTGAGCCACTGCGCCTGGTCACCTTTTTTTTTTTTTTTTAGGCAGAATTTCAGTTGCCCAGGCTGGAGTGCAATGACGTGACCTTGGCTTACTGCAGCCTCCACCTCCGTGTTTCAGTGTTCTCCTGCTGCAGCCTCCTGAGTAGCCGGGATTACAGGTGCCCACCACTACGCCCAGGCTAATTTTTGTATTTTTAGTAGAGACACGGTTTCACCGTCTTGGCCAGGGAGCGCTGGGTGTTAGGAGGAGAAACAGAGGACAGAGGAGGAAAGGGAAGAGGAGGCCTGACGGTCCCTAGCTGAAGGCGGGAGGAGCCACAGCGTTCTAGGCAGGGGAGGTGAAGCGTGGATTTGTGTGGCCATGTGAGAGGATTCTAGGTAGAGAAGCCAGGAGCTTCCAGAACTGTTCCCACAAACAAGCGACCCCCAGAGTAAATTCTAGGTTCAGAATGAAGTTTATCTACCATTAAAAACAATCTCTCAGCTGGGCACGGGGGCTCACCCCGGTAATCTCAGCACTTTGGGAGGCTGAGGTGGGCAGATCACCTGAGCTCAGGTGTTTGAGACCATCCTGGCCAACATGATGAAACCCTGTCTTTACTAAAAATACAGAAATTAGCAGGGCGTGGTGGCGCATAGTCCCAGCTAGTAGTCCCAGCTACTCAGGAGGCTGAGGCAGGGGAA